GCAGAGAATGAGAAAAGTCATGGGAGTGTTTTTCGGCTTATCTTGCTAGAGAGAGCTTTCGCACGATGTTGCGACATCCAGCTTCGCGTGATGATGCTATGATTTCTGAGATATCCCGGAAAACCCGCCCAATTGGCACAACCTGCAAAAGCATTCTACAGTGCCATGCTGGCCGCCTGCAGTTGCAGGGTAGTGCCTTTATTCAACATGAGATGGGTTTCGACACTCTCACAAGCTGCGCCTGTTGCAGCAGCCGGGCTTTCTCTCATTGTCCAGTGAAATGCTTGTGCAATGCGAATCATTTTCCCGTTTGCTACACTGCGCCACAGCGCCATAGACAGGACCGTATACGGGGCCGCACCTTCTGGCATCAGTTGTTGAACTATTTGTTCGAATGCCAACCGCATTGTCTCCATTGCAGGGGATCTGGCCGACGCGTCCCAAATCGACATGAGTTCAGGCCAAGCCTATCAAGCCCTTTGCCTGACCTCCTGCGTCTGGTGCCTTGCTCTCCCAGGCTGGGCCATATGCCGTGCATAAACCGTCCTCAGCCGACGACTTCACGATCCCGGGCCCACCGTTCCGCGTCTTTCTTCGCCAGTTGCGCCTGCTGCCGTTGCCGCCTAGCCCGCACTGTTGGGCGGGCTGGGCTTGCAGGACACACTAGGCTACCTGCGCGACAAGCAGCCGCGCCTGCCCTCGGCCTGCGTGCAAGCTCTGTGGCGCTGGCCGCCCAGCCCTCTGCACCCACAGGACGCAGCCCATTTGCTGCGAAGCGAGGCCTCGCGTCCAAAGTCCTGCACACTCGAGAAGCCGGGCCCTGCGAGGCTCCCAAGCTCTACCCTAACGTCTCCGCATGCCTCCGCCATGTTTCGATTGGATGGATTGCAGGTTGAGCGGCTCTTCGCAGCGTTTCACGTGATGAGGTGCTGAGCTTCACTGGATCACAAGCGTGGAGTCAGCAACGATTTGATGTTGTGAAATGTCTTGGGATGTGCCTTTGGAGATGAGAGCAGCAAAGTATCAGAAGCCTTGACCAACCAGTTTGACTGACGGTCGCGGAGCGGCGCAAGCATAGCACGTACAGGAGCTCGCGAGGGGCGGCCCGCAAAGGCTGCTGGTGCTCGGCTCGGAGATCGGGGGCCGCTGGAACGCAACAGCGCAGCACTTCGCGACGTCGTCCGCCTCCGAGTTCTCCGCGCACCGCCCGCAATGCGTCGCGCCGCGTCCTTGGGGTGGACACAACGTTGGTGGGGAGCTTTGTCTTTCTCGGTCCAGCTCGCCGTTGCAAGCACAGCAGTGGGGCGCTCGTGGCCAGCCGTCCCAGCGCAGGGGCACGGCCCAACACTGGACCGTGTGCTCGACCTCGCCGCTGACGAGGCGCCCAGCGGCTTGCCCTTGCGGCCCGAAACCGGGACCGCACGTAGTAATATGATGCCGTAGGACTGTCGTAGTTACCGGACCTTCTTGCAGTCGGAAAAATCCGTGGGCAAAAATTAAGCATGTGTCTCTGCAGTCTCCGTAAACGAAATGTCTCGCCACTCATTTCTGTGTGCAGGCAAATTGGAAAGCAACTCACACACTGCGATGTTGGTTTCCTTTTCCAGCACCGCGAGCTCGCAGATGTAGTGCGCTCCTCTAGTCGTATGGACGAAGCAGTCTACGCCGAAATGAGCCGAAATTGGTGCAATGGAGGATCTCAGTCTTGGCGTCCAGTCGGCCGAAACCAGGGAAAGCGAGCTGAAGACCACCAAGCCAGTGAGATGCAGAAACCTGTGAAAGATGTTCAAGCAAAAGAAATGCAGTAGTTCTACCTCCTTGCGAGCATACCGAAGAAAGGACAAGGACAAGCAACAAATAGAACAAGCATGACAAGACGAGAGCCATAAATGACAAGGGCAAAAAAAACAAGAAGACAGTGGAAAGAAAGCTCAAGCCCTTCACGTCGAGCCCGTTGTCTGTCGATAAGCCACCGGTGATGTCCAAACAGCGCCACGAGGAGCTCGTGAAGAATCTCAGGCGGGCGCCACTGTCGCGACATGCCCTGGTGCGTGATCTTAAAATCCCTGTCCGCCCGACGAGAGGCGGCATCGAAGTCATGCGAGCGGCCTGCCTTTGTGGGGCAGTGTGCAGCTTTCCGTTGACAGCACATTGGTGTCGGCCTTCATTGCAGTTGGCTATGCCAGGCCCAGACACCGGCCGCCGGGTGGGGCAGCTTTGCATGTTGCTGAACGTGCCAATGCTCGGACATACCCGGAGCTTGCTTCCGGGCGCCGCTGTCGGCTTATCGTCTTTGGCATTCATGCCGAAGACGCTGGAGTCCCCTACCCGCTGAGTTTGTCCGACTCCTTGCCCGGAGCAAGGCCCGTGCCGCTCCCTCTGCACAGCGGGCGGCGTGCACTGCCGCGTTTGTGTTGCGCTGGTCTGCGCCCCTGGCTTTTGCAGCCGCGCGGGCCTTTGCTGCCAGCCTCTTTTCCTTTCCCTTACCCGGCACCGCCAAAGTTGATGGAGACATGCCGCTCCTCAGCGACGTCCTGGCTGACTCTTCCGAGCAGCCCCCTTGCCAGCCGTATGCCGTAGTCTGTTTGCCAGGACGTTGGGCATGTGCACTGGGACCGCGGAGTGGACGGGCGTAGAAGAGGTTTGTTTTGACGTTAAGATAGCCGAGGACGTGCTCATGGGAGATGACCGGATCATAGAAGTGGCTCTCACGACCGTGGGTGCAGTAGCGTTTTTGTTACGTGCTTGTTGGGATTGACACTTTTGGTTACATCCAATGGCGTGGGTTCTAAAATTGATCACCCCCCACCCTCCGATGATTTCGTGAGCACGAACTCGGACGTTTCGCGCTGGAGTGCAATCATTGCCGTCGCGGCTCAGATCATGTTCGAACTGCCTGTCGACTCTGTTGCCGGCGAGCCGGCTGTGCATGGGGTCTTACAGGACGAACGATGGCTTGACACTCCAGCAGCCAGCCAACTCCCGGTGCGGACTGAGGTCTCGCGTGCCGTGGCCTGCAGGTGCACTGGGACCGCGCTCGTGTTTTTGTCGCGCGCGCAAAACAATTTTCCAGTTGAAATGTGAAGTCCAGTGAGTGTGTGCTACAACCTATTCATGTGCGGGGTCTTGCATTATTCAACTTTTTCATGCACTGCTGCAATGTAGAAACTATTGAAAGCTGCCAGCCACGCATGTTTAGGCGAGTGTCCATACACGTGTCGAACAACGGGATTTTGTAATGCCCGCCATGTTTGTGAATGCATTCGCCTTGCTGTGCGTGGCATATCTCGATGGCATGTACATTACCATACATCCGCCCCCCAAACATTCAGTCCACCTCGTATTCGGGATAACGGTTTGAAATTATATGTGAGCACGTTGTGATGCCAATTTGTTGGAGTTTGGTTCCATAAGGTATCTAGTCCGCACGTATCCACAGCCATGCGAAAAACTTCTGAAAGCCATGTTGGTTTGCTTGGGTCTACCCCGTTTCCGACGTCCATCATGCCATCGCGGCTGAAACGTCCAGTCGTCGAAAAGGACATGTTTGCATGACATCCTCCACAGATTATATAATTTCTAGAGATCTGAAATTACGAACCAAATTTTTTGCGACCAGCACGAGCGCGATCGTATTGCACCTGCAGGCTAGGTGGCAGCCTTGTTTCCTCTGCAGGAGCCGGCTGGGGGCAGGGGCGTGCAGCCAGCGTGCGTTGTGCAGGACCTCATGCACAGGGGGCTCGCCGGTCATGTGGCCATAGGGTTGGTCGACGTGGAGCGGTGCAGGAAGCGACGCTGGCTGCCGTCGCCATGTTGACCCGCGCTGCTTGCCGCCGCTTCGGCATCCTGCGGTCCCGTGGCCTCCCGCTCGAGCGAGCTGCTGCCCGTGTGTTCCGCAAGGCCGGGGCTACCATTGCCAGCAATGTCCTTGTGCGCGACCTCAACATCCACCCTGAGCGCCTCGATGACCGCCGAGTCGAAGTAATCGCAAATCGACTCCTCTTAAAACTCAAATTCCCGGCTTGAGCAGGCAGGGGTAGGGCAGCCTCGACACATGCAATGCATGGATATCTCGATTGGACAGGTGAGTTTCTTTGCGGTTCTCGACCGTGAACTTGTGTTGCTCCGGGTCGCCGACCTACTTGCTGCAAGGGGAAGCATCGCCGCCGAGCGACTTCCCCTCCCGGAGCCAGAGCCGCCCACCAGGCCCCGGCCTCCTTCCCCGCCCCCTCCGCCTGACCGGCCCCGAACCACCCGCCCGAAGCCCCAGCCGAAGCCTCCGCCCAAGCCCGGCAACAAGCGATCCCGTGGCGGCAAACGTTGGAATCGCGGCTCCAAACGCCGAAACTGAGCGGGGCCCTAACCTGCGCCTGGCCGCTGCCCTCCCGCGGCATCCCGGGGCCTGCGGCGCGCCGCTGGCCGCAATCAGCGAATAGGTTTTTTTAACTTTACTTCCGTCAGGTCGCCGGTGCCTCGGTGGACATTGGCGGTGCCGTTGCTCGCGCCGGGGCCCGAACACAGCTTGCATCAATTGCCTGGGCCTGCGCGCAGCCGCTGCCCGCCGGTTTTTTTTCCACCAAGGTTGCCTCTCCTGTGCAGACCTCCCTGCTGGAGGTGGCACGTGCGCAACAGTTCCTTTTGCTTGTCGCCATTTTTTTTGTGCACGGGTGCGTGCGTGCCAGGCCGCGCAAGGCTTGCCGCGCTGCCGGGTGCGGCTGCTCATTTCAAGAACGCCCCAAGCGTGGGCTCTTCGCAGATTCTTTTTTCATTCTTGGTTGCACCAGCTCTACCCGCTGCTACATCTGCCTGCTGGGTTTCACCTATTGATGACCAAAAGCCTACGGCTCTCTCGGTGCCAAGCTCTTGGTATCGATATGCTCCCCGCTGATGGCCGCGCGCCCAACACAACCTTCGCCGAAAAGAGGCGTGCCGAAAAAAAAAACCCTCGCCGTTGTGCGTGACTTCTCCGTGCACATCCGTGCGCACCTTCTCACGGGCGGATGCGGCCGAGCCACGTGAACCAGCACTCATCCGGGCTACATGCTGCAATCGCCTCGCGGGGGCCCGCGCTCGACTTCGCTGAACTGCGCGACGCCCGCATGCACTGGGCCCCGCTGCCTCACACAGCATTGAGGCCTCGCACCCGCAATGGTTGTGCATGCCGTGCAACAACGAGCTCCCGTTGGAAGAGCGTTCGCACTTGTATTGTGCCACTGTACGTGCCTTTGCAAATTGACGCGGCAGGCGGTGGCCGGCCAGGGCCGGCCGCGGTCGAGGCGCTGCGGGCTCGCCCGTTCATCCCCGTCGACGATCTAACGCAAGCATTTGAGCACGTTGCCCAGGTCCTGCAATCGCCTTCGGTTCACAACGTTTCCGGGCTTGGGCCAGAGCACGGGCTGGTCATTTTGCATGGCCGCTGCCCCAATTGCCGTGCGGCGATAAATCACCTGCCGCGCGAAGCGATGCGTGCAGCTCACACACTCGTTCGTGACTACGCGAGCCACTAGAGCCTGACCACACTACGGGCTGTATGCTGCCGCCGCTTGTCCGGACTAGCAACGGGGTTTGTCCAGCTTGCGGACTCGCGAATGCATTGGGCCCTAGTGCCCCATCGCCATGACCGTGGCATAGCTTCCTGGACACCGCACTGGATCTGCATGCGTTGCCAAAACGAGTTGCCAGCCGCTCGGGTCCAGCCGCCAGGGCCGCTTCCATCATGTCATGACTGCCTCACACTCACGTCCTGGGAGGTGGACATGGCAGCTCGCGCGGAGCGTTGGGTATGCTCTCGCTGCCCCTTCGCTCACCCCACAAGACCAAAAAACCGTTTGAATTGAGGCCACAAACCCCACCGCCTGCCACGTCCTCGCCCGCTGCTCTTGCTGAAGGCCAAGCACAAGCATCCGGACAGCCAGCCTTCTTTGCAGCTGCGATCGCGCCGAGGCGAGACGTCCACATTGCGCAGCCTGGGGCTAGCTTTACGGAGGCCGTGCCCCCACCCATGCCACTCGCCGCGAGCACCAATTCCGGCCTGTACCTGCCCCGCCTGCTCGACGCAGCGGGACTGCTATGCCCCGACGCGCCTCATGCATGGCGAGAAGGCATGTAAGTGCCGCATTAACAATTGAGAGTGTCACGACATGTATTGGGGGGAGGGAAGGGAAGTTCATCCGTGCCATTTTGGTGCAAGGATGAATTTTTGATACGGTGGTGGTGCCATGGCTTACTTGTTGCCGTCCGATGCTGTACTGGAGACCTGGACTTCGCTCAGTGATGCGATGCAATGAGCAGTTCCCACGGATTTGGATCAGTCGCACGGCAACTCGGAAACCCTGACATTTTTTTCACACACACACACACACCACTTTATCCAGCTGCCTGCTGTCCGGGATGCCAATAGCGGTATCCTTTCATGCCGCCTGGCTACGCCTAGCAAGAACCTACAGCCGGAGCGGCAGACGACTCGCCCCGGCACCTGTCACAGATGCCTTTGCTAGCAGCTGTGCTCCCCGACGGGTGGAGCGAGGCTTTGTCGCAGGCTCGGATTGGCACTAGAGAGCCAACTGCCTTTGAGAAGGGCCAAATGCGGCTGATGGTGAATGCGACGGAGTCGCAAGCACGACACACCAGTCCTTAGCAACACTGCCTACCCCTCCCGCTGCACTTTCGGCACCACGCGTGAAGCTTAAATTGAGCCAAATGGTGGATCAAGGCGCCGATCAAGATTGCAAAATGCTCCGCACGGTCGAGCTGCTAGCTTGCCGCCAACGTTACGGTGCCAGCACTGGCGACTCACCTTTGGAAAAGGAGGAAGTGACTGACAGTCAGTTGAGGTGCCTACACGCCAAGGTAGAAAGCGGACAAGCACCCTTCATAGACATGGGGGTCTGGGGTCCTTATGGGGACCGGATTGCGAGAGCGATGAAGTTTACTTCACAAGCACTGAAGGATGGGCAATGGAAGGCAGTAGAGCTGCCGGGTGCAGCCAACATTCATGCCTGGGAAGAAAATTGCTGTATCATGCTTGACATTGCCAGGCCGGCGGTGTTGGACAGGTACAGTGCTGAGTTCCGCAACCGTGTGACAGAATACCCAGATGTGTGGCATTTGGCCGCGCAGGCTGACATCCGCTATCAAAGTGAGTGGTGGGCGAAAGAAGAACAGACAGCCGACAGCACTCCAACCACCTGGCCCATCCAACATTAGCGGTGTACGACGTCAAGCGGCCCTGGAATTCGGTGATCAAAGCGAGTGCCTCCTGCAGTGACTTCTGGCGCAAAGAGTTCGAGCAGCCTGCGTTACGCTACCAGTGCAATGGCCCCAGGGCCATGCCCGCAGTTCCTGAGCCGCCACCTGATGGAGGCTTCAGGCCCGGTGGCGGTGAGAAGCGGAAGTTCGACCCACAGCGGAAGGATGGATGCTACTTGAAGTCCAAAGGAGGCCTCAACATCTGCTACGATTGGTCTCGCAAACCGGATGGATGTTGCAGTGACAAGTGCGACAAGGGCATGGCTCATGTCTGTGAGTGGTGCCGGCAGCCGCACCGATCGATCAATTGCCCGCAAGTCCCTGGTTGGAACCCCGAGGAGAAGGGCGCGAACCAACAGCGAAGCCGCGGGGGTGGAAAAAGGCAAAGGAGGCCGGGGACGCAACCAGCGGCGACAGTGAGCAGCAGAAGTCACCGCGCAGCTGCCGACATCAGCAGATCTGCCCTTCCTGAAGGGAAGGTTGGAATCGGCTAGAGTGGCAGCGACTGGTGCGGAGTCGTGCAAGAAGAATTCATTTAGTCATGGCAAAACTGGAACGGCCACAGGGACTGAGCAGAATGAAGCAGGCTTCCTGGAACTTTTCGCCGGGGCGGCCGGGCTGAACCGTGCAGTGCAAGCGCGGGGCGCACGAGTCTTGGCTGTTCCAGACGCGCAAGCTGCAAAGACACTTGGCAACTGTTTTGACCTTTTGAACTTGAGTGTTTTCCGTGGTTAAAGCTTTTAGTGCGAGAGGGCAAAGTGCGGTGGCTACACGCCGCTTTTCCACGAAGAACGTTTAGCAAGGCCAGGAGTTCCGGGCACAGTGCGAAGGCGAAGCAGTTCAGAACAGCACGCCAGCCGCGCGGACTAGTGCCACGACCCAAGCAGGTGGTGGAAGCTAACTTGCTGGCAGTAAGGACAGCATAACTCACGAGGGCGCAGCGTCGAGCAGGAGGCTGGTTGAGCGTCGAAGGGCCGTCAAACTCTTTGCTGTGGAGCCACCCACCTTTCCAGTCTTTGCGGAGGCTCACAAGAGTCCAGCAACTCAAGTGCGACCAGTGTTGCTTCGCTGGAGAGCAGCGGAGAGCTGCTGCAGTTCCACCGAGTCGCCTGTTGCGTCTACTGCAATCGGAACTGGACTGGAGTGCCATTTAGAGGATCCGCGCAATGTGCAGCTGCCCGCCGTCACACGTGCAGCGGCAGAGCTCGCAGCGCTACCAGATGCCTCGCTGCCGCTGTCGGGGGCGATCCTGCTGTGCATCACGGCCGTCAGCGCTCCTCCAAGCGTACGGCGGCCACACAACGGCTTCCTCCGCGCAGACGCTGGCGGCAGAGGCTCGCGATGCATTCGATGCTGACACACTGTCGCACCGCAGCCAGGGCTGTGCCTGCCGTCGACGGCGAGCTAGGCGAACGCGCGCCGCAGACACAGGCGGCGACGCAGACATCCACGATCGCGTGCCCACTTGCCCTGCCCCGGCATCCGCCGCGTTGGAGGACGCGTGGCTCGCCTTGGACGCGGTCGATTTGGAGTTCGAGTTGCGCAACCCCGTGCCCACGCTACAAGACGTGCCGCCTTTCATGCGCTCCGCATTGCGGGGAGCGCTGCTGAGCCCGGCTCCACGCCGAGCCCGAGCACGACTCGCGCGACGAAACAACCCAGTCCCGAGCGTGGAAGTTGTTTCTGCTAGCACCGCGGATGTTACTTGCCCGCCCCAAGCGGCGCACAGGGACGGACGGAGCTGTTAGGCCGAGCCGAGGCGTTCCAGCGCGGGGCATGGCAGTCCTTGCTCCACCCGGCAAAATGCCGCACCCAGCCGACAACAAGCCGCCCTCCCGCCTGAGGACATGGCCGAGCGCCAGCGCGAACTGGCCTGCGCCAAAGTTCGCAAAGGCGAGCTTTCGCGGGCACGCCAAGTGTTGACCGCGGCCGATATAGCACCGGGCAACGATGCTACGTGGGCCGCACTGACCGACCCCGTTCGCCGCCCGCCAGAGCCTCGCACCGCGATCCCGCAGGCGCTGCTCGAATTCCAAACGGCCCAGCTTCCCAAGCTCAGTGTCAGAACCTTGGCTTTGGCTTTGCGCGAGACGCGCCGGGGCGGAGCACCAGGGCTTTCCGGTATGCGAGCGGAGCACCTAAAGGTCATCCAGCAGGCCGAAGGTTCCGAACAGGGCGATGCATTGGCCCCGGCATTGTTTGCGCTTGGACAGCACGCTGCGCTCGTCCGCGCAGCCGAGGCTTTGCACCGTGGCGACAGCCTCGTTGCGTGTTTGGATGACTTGTACGTCGTGACCACCCCAGGCCGTGCCCGCAACGCGCTGGACACGACCGTAGCGGCGGTGGCCACGCACTGCGGCATATCGTCCAATCTGGGCAAGACCCGCGCCATCGCCTCCGTGCCAGGACCGCCTCCCCCAGGCATCGTTGCACTCGGTGACGATGTTTGGCGGGGCGATAAGCCGCCTGCTGAGCGAGGAGTGGTCGTTTTGGGTTCACCCATTGGCCATCCGGACTTCATCCACGCGTGGGTCGACGAACGCATGCGCACCGAGCAACAGCTGCTGGACCACTTGCCGCAGCTGCCGGACCTCCAATGCGCATGGTTGCTCCTGCACATGTGTGCGGCGCCGCGGGCAAACCACGCCATCTGCACAATGCCTCCATCCATGTCAGCGGCATACGCCAGGGCCCACGACGAAGCAATCTGGCAGACGTTGCAGGCATGTCTGGGTGGGGTTCCCGAACTGGAAGCAGAACAGGCCCGCGAACTTGCGACACTCCCTGCCGCACTCGGTGGCCTCGGCTTGCAGTCGGCCACGCGGACTGCTCCCGCTTTTTACTGGGCAGCATGGGCCGATGCCCTCATCCACACGCGACTCCCGGAGTGCGCCAACCGGTACCTCCGAGAGTTAGAGCGAGGAGATGACGCTGCTCCGTGTTTTCACGAAGCGGACGACGCCCGCAGGATCCTACAAGACGAGGGGTGGAACGATTGCCCCTCTTGGCGAGCCATCTTGGAAGGCGAGCGGCCCGCCCGCCCGACGGATGCAGGCCCTGGAGACTGGCCACATAGCTGGCAATTTCACGCGATGCGGACTCGCAACCAAAATTATCGCAATCGCGTGCTGTTGCCGGCCCTGCCGCCGAGCTCTCGAACCATGCTCCGCTCACGAGCCGGACCGCACGCAGGGGCATGGCTTGCCGCCATACCCAGCGAGCCAAGAACAACCTTGACTCCACAGGCCATGCATCTGGCACTGCGCCGTCGCTTGCGACTACCCCTGCCCTTGAGCCCCCACCGGTGCGGCCCCAATCCAGGGTGTGGTCAAACCGTCGATGCATTAGGAGACCACGCGCTCGCCTGTGCACGGGCAGGATTGCTGGCTAGGCGGGCCAAAGTGGTCGAACACGCTTGGCTGCGCGTGGCGAGAGAAGCAGTAGGCGCGGAAGGCCAGGTCGTGCCACAGCAGTGGCTCGCCCACACAACGGCCCCAGCCAGGCGTGCGATCTGACGACCGCCGACGCCTCGATATGGTCGTGTATGATGCCACGTCCAACGGGGGAGCGTTCTGCTGCGACGCGACACTCGTGTCGCCGCTGACCCACACTGGACACCCGCAGCCGTGCGCGGACGCAATGCTGCGTGTCGCAGAGCGCCGCAAGCAGACAGCCTACCCCGAGCTCACGCGCGGCGGGCCCCAACACTTGCATGGTCGTGCTGGGGACCGAGGTCGGAGGGCGATGGAATGCGCAGGCTCTCCGCTTCCTGTGCGATCTCGTCCGCCTCCGTGCGCAACGAGCACCGCCTGCTGTCCGTGCCGCTGCTGCCGGAGGCTGGTCGAAGCGATGATGGCAAGGCATCGTATCCATCGCAGTCCAACAAGCCGTAGCGGGCACGGCCCTCGGTCGCGCGTGGCCGGCCCTGCCGAGCGAAGGAAACGGCGCGAGACGTACCCTGAGCTCCTGCGCTCCCGCCGTTGTCGTTTCGTCGTGTTTGGCATCGAGACCGGCGGGCTATGGAGCGCTGAGGCCGCTGACTTCATCCGCTTCCTTGCGCGAGCGAAGGCTGTCAGTGCAACGGCCTCCCTGTGCCAGGCAGTGCGCACGGCTTGGGTGCAGCGCTGGAGCGGAATGTTAGCGGTTGCCGCTCAGCGAGCCTTCGCGGCGTCGCTCCTCGACCTCTTAGCTGACTGCGAGCCCGGTGCTGCCGACAACCCGCCGGCTTTGCACGAGGTGCTCGCTGATGCACGCTGGCTCGCCGCCCCATGATCACAGCCGCCTCCTTGCACGGCTCGCGTGAACCTCGAGCCGCGGCGTGCACTCTCCGTAGCTCGCAGCCTGCACTGGACTTCGTACTTTCGGAAAAGGTGCGTGTTGGAAAAAAAAGTGTAGACAGCTGCTCCGCGCAAAGCATGCAGCAGGACCCCAAGCCATGCAGGTGCAAAAGAGGAAAAAAATCGCTTCCCTATCTGAATTGCTAAGCGCGATATAGCCGTGGCACCCGAGGGATCCCGAGGGCCACTACGTCGCCGCGCCACTGCAAGAGGCGTTGCTTACCCTGTTAATTGGCCCGCCAACCGTCGCCACCCTCGCACGCCTCATCGAGACGCTTCTTGCCCGGCCTCCTGACGCACCTGACCCGCCCCCACAGATCCATCCCGGAGCCTTGCCGACGCTGCTGCGCCTGCAGCCGTGCGCCAGCGGAGGACGCCCAGCCTCCCCGGCCCGCAGCACCCACTTGGCCCGCAGATCCGGAAGTCGTGACAGCCGTCGACGCAAATCCTGCCGTCCGCCCTACCGTGCAGAATCTGCAGGGCGCGCTGCCGGACCCACCAACCGGCTCTGCGCCCGAAATCGTGAACCCTGCAGAGCTTGCCCTGGTGCACCGCGACCAGGCCCTGCCAGACCCCGACACGTCGCGAGCTGCTGACGCCGACACCAGCTTAGCCTGGCTCGCCGTTCAAGCAGCATCACACTCCCGTGCTGGCGGCCTGCGCGGCAGACGCGGACGCGGGCGCGGACACCGGCTGCCGGAAATCATCGGAAATCGATGGTCCCCTCGAACGGGCCATCGCCCGCGTCTGCCACGAAGCCAGGGCGCGTGTCGGGCGCAACGTCGCGCTGGCCGCCATGAACATCGATGTGCCGGTCCACGACGCGAGGCGCATCGAGGTCGTCTGCAACGGCCTCCCGCTTTGGCACGGCGCACAACTTGCCGTTGACGCGACGCTCGTCAGCCCGGTGACCCGAGATGGCCGCGCGCATGACGGCGCTGAACACACCACCCGGGTTGGGCCGTCCGCGGTGCTGCGCGGCGCAAACGCAGGCAGACGTACCCCGAGATCGACCGCAGCCGACGCTGTCGCCTTATCGTTTTCGGACTCGAGGTCGGCGGACGTTGGGCTGAGGAAGCTGCCACCTTTGTTCGCCTCCTCGCCCGGGCGCGGGCCGCAGCTGTCCCCGCCGCTTTGCGCAACTTCGCCCAAGCCGCTTGGGTTCTCCGCTTCATCTCCGCTGCGGCACAGTGTGCGCTCGCTGCCACCTTCCTTGAGCTACCCCTCCAGTCGGAGCTTGGTGCTGCTGGCCCGCCTCCAGCTTTGCACGAGCTCCTTGCAGATGCTCGCTGGCAGGAGGTACTGAGCCCAGCCGCTCCCTGCCCATGCGTGAGTCGCGAGTTGCCGAAGTAGGTTGCAGTTGGCACTGGGACTTGGACCTCTTTCACGTGCAGTAGCAAGAAGGTGCGAGAGAAAAAAAAAACAAAACAATGTTGCAAACGGGCCCAAGCCGCAAGGAGTGTTGCGAGATTGGGGCCACACTTTGGGAGAAAAGCTGCCTTCCTCTGCCGCGTGCCCCTGACAGATGCCGCTGCCAGCGCCCGCTTGATGTGTTGGGTGATCAAGTCGCTGCTTGCCCTCGGTCTGGCACCCCACGTGCACGGGGGGGCGGGCGCTTGAGCGTGACACTGAGGCTGGGGCAGCAGCAGCTACGAAGTGCTGCTCCGCGAATTCAACCTCCAGCGGGCATGAGGTTGTTGCTAACGGGCTTCCCTTGTGGGGTGGCTCCCAGCTCGCAATTGACACAACAGTAACACAACCCAGGTCTCAGGAACGCACCTACCCTGAATTCTGTCGTGCGGCACGGTTGCTGCAGCAAGGTCTTTTGCTACCAGCTTGCTCTCTCTCTCTCTCTCTTTCTCTCTTTCTCTTTCCCTTGGATGCTTGCAGAAAGGTGTGTGTTAAAACAACGGTTTGGAAAATCAGTTTAAAGCTAATTTGCAGGCGGCAATTTGCCTGCAAGAGCAGTGCACCATTCACGTGACTTCCCCAGATTTCCCCAGCATTTACCAGAAGAAGCTCATTGCGTTCAGCATCCGGCCCCAGCCAGTTGGGCTTCCTCAGGCATGTGCGTCCATGGAAGTGCATCGGAAGATGGCAATGCCAAGGTCGTGTTTGACGACATTATGCCACACCAAGCATGTTGATTTTGACATATGCGGCATGCACGACAGTGGACATTTGACAAAGCTTTGGGATGCGCGTGGCCTCCCATGGCATCTGTTGGCCGCTTGACGGATTGATTTCTGCAGCGCCGCTGCGATGCCGAACCCCCCAAATATTCAATGCTACCAGGGGCCACCACTGCCAGCATCGTGGACTGCATCCAGCTTCGTCGGTTCTGGTTCGGCAGTTCCTGGTGTGCGATGGAGTTGCGTGAGGCATGGATCAGCCATCGCTGGCGTCATGGCCGCCAGCCTGGCACGAGAATTCCTGTTCCAGGATTGTGTGGGAGAAAAACGCAAAGAGTCGCTCAGATGGTTTTTTGATGTCACTTGGCGCAGGCTGGCCGGCTCTGCTCACGAAGCACTCGGACCTTTGGGTCAGGTTGTACCGGCCCTGCAGAGCCAGAATCGATGGCGACAGAAGTTTTCCGAGGTGCTCCTCGGCAGCATGAACAGTGACTGCAAGAAGACCGTCAACATATACCGTTACAGTAGCAGTTAGTGTTGTGTGCCATGCTTGTTGTTGTAAGGTCGGCGAAGTGCGAGTTTTTGCATATCCCGTCCAAGACGGAGCTCGATGCATAGCAGTGGTGAGAGGCTTCTGCGGCCGCATGGATTCTGCTTGTGCTAGAAAGGATGGCGGGGCGGGCGGGAGGGCGGGAGGCGGGGATGGAAGTATGGAGCGATGGAAAGATGGATGGGAAAGGATGGATGGGATGGAGAATGATGGATTGGATGGATGGCCATTACCTCCCTACCTTCGACTCTCGAACTTGGTTTTGGTGCTTTGAGTTCGCCTAAGTCTTCGCTATCTACTCGTTTGGGCTTGAAATTCGGGGCTGAGGTTGGCTGGTCTATTGAATAGCCTGTTTGTGTTGCAAGGCTTTCGGTATCGGGTTTCAGTGCTCGAAGAGTATGACGGTCTGGGGGAATTTCCAACATTCCCCACATTTGGCATGCAATCTGTGCCGCAAGCTTATGCAGATTTGTGCTCAGATCCAAGTTTCCGAATGGGTTCTGCTGGTGGGGTAGTTGCCTTCGGCTAGTCCAACTGAGGAAATCTGTGCCTGTAAAGAACTCTAGTTTTTCGTGCAAGATCGTGCTGCATAGCCTTGGATTTTGGCTACTAGAAGGCTAGAAGAGGAACTGTGTGACCGAAGCTGTTGGGGATTTCCACCCTCACATAGAAATTCGGCAGGAAGGAACAACGCAAGTAGGGCCAAGACTGAGGGATGGGAGATGTGCCCTGATGTCAGGCAGTGTCTCGAGGCTCGGTGGTGTTCCCATCCCGCTGCGAATTCATTCCGAGTGCTTGCTCGGCGATGTGTTTGACTCCACACGTTGCCAATGTGGTCCACAATTGCGAGACTTTATGCTCAACGTCTTGGGGAACGACGAACATAGAAACGGTGCGATACTGTATATGCAGGCGGGATTCGTCGAGTTCTCGTTTCTATGCCGCATGTGAGCTGTGCGACACGAGAGCAGGGCCACGAAGGCAAGGGCATCGGCTTAAGCAACAAGCTCCGCAGCTACGTTTTGCAGGCCGGCCTTCGCATTGGTCTCCCATGATGCACCTACGCAGTGGAGTCTGTTGCGCAGTTTGAGTCGAGGATGGATCCGAGCAGCTTTCCGAAGAAGACGCGAACATTCGCCTGGGCTTTGCGCCGGACGAACGCAGCTTCCGTGCGGCTGCGGCGGCGCTTGAGCACCTTGAAGTAGACAGTGTTGTCCTATACACGGACAACCGACGCAAAGTTGCAGGCTTGTGTGCCCACGCACAAAAAGTTCATGGCATGTTCGTGGGTTTCTGTATTTGCACGAACAGAAGCGACGGGTAAGTTGGTTCGGATGTGGCCCGTGGACTGCTAGCTGCAAACTGTTGAAGCATGGTTAAGCCATGTTAAGCCTCTTGGAGCTTGGTTACGGTTGACGCATGTGCTCATGCTAAGTATGGACGACGGAGCAGCAGTGTGTAATTTAACGCACGAGCAGGCATCTCTACGGCAATCGCTGCTGTTGTTCCGTGGTCCTCGCGGGAGCAGAGGTGGATTGATGAGGCGGTGTGGGCCAGGATACGTGGACAGCCGACGTGAACAAGTCGCACAGGATGTCTCTCCAACGAGACCTCTTGTTTCGTTAGACTTCTATTGCAAAGGGCTTTGCTGGCCAAGAGATCGCCGGCATGGTGACTAAAATAACTACAGTGCGCAATTCCATTCTGCATGAGAGCATAGATGCTTGCCAGCAGTGCATGGATGCCGGATATGCTGGTCGTACCTGCACGTTGCCTGATGATGCGTGGCCCGAGGGACATCTTGCGCGTAGTTCTGCCCCGGCTAGCAAACGTTGCTTAATGCTCGCATGCAATGTGAATGTTCCGTTCGACGGCGAGAAACGGAGAAGATGCCTTAAAATTGCAGTGCTGGGTCTTGGTGCCTGCAGTATCTGGTCCTCATGGCCCTCCGGAGGCTTTGTGAACTCTGCGACGTCTGCTCCCAGAGGCGAGATACACTCCAGAGCATCTGACTTGCGCGTCACGTTGCCTGCGGCAGCTGTCTTGGACCTTGGTTCCGCGCCGGCAGAACCGTCAGCCGTTCAAATTCTAGTCCCATTGCTTTGTGCAATAATTCCTGTCGCATATTGGTGGTACGTCCTTGTTCCCTTCAAGCGCCGTGAATTGGCTTCAAGCAAGCGTAAGGGTGACATGAAAGAATATCTTCAAGACTTGGCCACAGCGCCCGTGCAGGAAAGAAAGCCCGAGAAGTGGCTGTTTGACAAATATTTGCGAGAGGCCAAACTCATAGAAGCTGGTGAGGCATCTGGGCTCCCAAAGGCGGTTCAGACCGTAGAAGCTGGACTGCAGCAGCAGCTTCCAGGTGGTGGGTTCTGGAGCTTTGATAACCCAATTTTCGTATGCTTGGTGATGCTGTTGATTTTCTGCACCACGCAGGTGGCAATGCACAGTTTGTCCGGCTGAGCCTGTCGGCTGACCCAACCAGTCGAAAGTTTTCAATTTTCACGCGGCAGGGCTTGTCTGAGACTGCGGATGGGTTCGGTGGACTTCGGAGAAGAGAAGAAGTCAAGACCAAGCCGCAGACATGCCTGCAATGCGCTTCAGGAGCGTGGTGAAACAGTAGTTGGCTTCCGGACAGTGAGCAAGGCGTAGTGGAGATGGGCCAGAGCCCACATGCACGCTGCCTCTTTGGCACATGAAAGATAGGGTACCTGCCAACTTCAAGCGCCAAAAAGAAAGTCCTGCAGCCTGCACTGTGGTTGTCAGAAAGGTAGGAATGGGGTGTTGGTTCCGCAACACGGTCAAGTGCCATGATGGCACATCAGTGGTCGCAGGCAGATCTTTTGAATCTGTACAGCTGCGCTGAGCCCAGAGCATGGAGAAGGTCCCGCTGCTTCCCGCAGGAGCCGAGAAGAGCCGGCAAGTGTCACAGACATCACTGAGCTGTCTGTCCGCACTTGCTTTTGGAGGAGAGAGCTCCGTTGCGCCAAGCTGGCCCGTGGTGCAGCCACCTGAGCCTGCCTACAGCACCCTGAACGTTCCTTGCATGCCATAGGCCGCAGGCTGGAGTATGCTGGAGTTGCATCGGTTTTTCTGGATGGGTGTTTAGTGCATTTTTGCTGTGAGCATTCCAGGATTGCCAAACGTGCTTGCGTTGCCCGTCCGCTTATGGTTGTGGTTGCTGCAGTGCACTGCCGCTTGTCTATTCAGCGTTCTGTGGGTTTGAGCTGTGCAGCTACACCTGCTCTGCTGCACCAAGGTGTTATGCGACGCTGGGTTTAGTCGTGTTTGCCTTGTTTCTTGTCCTTTATCCTTTCGTGGCTGCACTGGCACTGGTGCTGCTGCTCCTGTTCGGGTGGTTAGCAGGTTATTTGATGCTCGGCAATGTTGGGAGGTCATAGCTCTCGTACTCGAGTTCGTACTTCTTTAAGTCTTTCGTCAGAAAGATGCAGCCTTGTGGGGAGAAAAGACTGTAGCTGACGCTGAGCCAGGGTGGTTTATCTGGCTTGCTTGAGACCACCTCCAGCTCTGGTTTGGAAGGGTGCCAAGCTTCTTCAGCTCACGCGGCTGACTTTTTACCAGCTGCCAAAGGCCGCGGAGTGGAGAGTCACAGACTTGAAGCCGAAGGCAAAGTTGACAACAGGCTTGCTGCAGTATGCCATTGCGGTGCGGGTGCCGTTTCTCTCAGAGGGCGAGCTTTATGCAGGTGGACTCTTCGAGTCACTGGCGCGGCTCGCGCCGTCTGCCGAGTTCATGACTTCCTCGATGTTTTTCTCAGCGCCACCAGCAATCAGCAGCTTGAGCAGCTTCAGAGAAGGAGAAAACCCAGTTGAATATGTTATGGAAGTCTGCCGGGACATCTACCCCAAAGTGGTGCAGGAATGGAAAGACAAGACTTCGGATCGAGCCTTGGCCCACTTCTGTTTGCACGGACTTGGTGCGCACCGCCTGGAGAAGGCGGATCCGTCGCTCCACCCTGGCTGTGTATACGCGGTGCGAACCAATCAACTGGCTGCCCTGCCAGTTAGGGACGGCTTCGAGCACTACGGTAACGATGTGTATTTCGATAAGGACTTCAAGGTACTCAAAATCGTCCGTGAAGAGCAGGTGGAACCGTGGGAGATGCCAAAGTCGACAACCTTTCTTCCTGATGGTTCCAGAACGTGGGAGTATGCCAAATTTTGTTTCCGCAGCTCCTTGTTTTCATTCGTCACTCTTGTGGACCACCTGTACGGGTGTCATCTGCAGCTTGCGAATGTCGTTGTACAGGCAATGCGTGAGCAGCTCTCGAGCGATCATCCGATTCGACGCTTTCTTCTGCCATTCTCGTATGGGACAATCAACATCAACGACCTGGCAAGGCAGACCCTCGTGACGCGAGATTCTTTTGTACCCCAGCTTCTCCCCTTGGACAACGAGGGTCTGCAGCTTGCTTGGGCCTCGGCATACAAGCTTCTGCCACCCGAGTATGTGCTGGACACAGCTTCTGGGAGTGAGGGGCCGGTGGAGCTCATGGAGACATTGTTTGACAGGGAGAAGGTCATCAAGCGCAAGCAAGAGCAGGGGCTGGCTACTTCGTATTATCAGCAAGCATTGAGGTATTGGCGCATTTTGCGGAAGTTCGTGGCAGATTACCTGGATCACTACTACGGGACCGGTTCGCGTGGAGAGATGGCACTCGCAGCAGATGAGGAGCTGAAGCTATTCTTGCTGCAGACGGTCACGCAGCTGCAAGCTTTCTCGGATCCTTTTTCCACCGGGCAGATGCATGAGCTTTGGCCTTCTGTTCCAAATTCCCGCAAGAAGCCGATCTTTATCAATTTCTTGACGCGCTTCTGTGCATCGGAGCTGCAATTCTCTGTCAAAGAGGGTGTTGGTTTCCTCATGGCCCCATGGTCGCTTCCTGATAAGCCAAGGAGCTCGTTACAGTGGGGCATGAGCAGGTGGGCCAGGTGCAAGCCTATGCACAAGATGCATCGTTTTGCACGTGCCTTGTCTGAGTTGTCTTTGGCAGCGTTGAGCAGCAACTTTTTTGACATGCGGTCGCCAGACGTTGCTCTCTGGACCTGCGAGGTTCTCCTGGTCCAAGAGTTTACGGCAGGAAGGCCCGCTTGTAGGACCCAAAGAGGTAGCCCTGGGCGGAGCCTTGCTGATGGCTCTGACAAGCACTCCGATGCCGCGATTGCTGGCACAAAGTCCAGCGGATGACTGGTCGCTTTGTTGCAATTGTCCGAAGGTCACTGCAGCATAGCCTTCTCAGCCATATGTCTTGGTGAGTACACCCCGGTATGAACAAGGTCGCATGTCTTCCCGGCCATGTCGGAGGGTGATCGAGCCAAAATATTCGGCGATTTCCAGGCCGAGTTGCGCAAGTTCTCTGCCGAGTGTGATGAGCACCACGGCCTGAGGTCGCAGGATTTTGCTGTGCCAGCTTTCTTTGTGGGTTGGGGTCTTCTTCCGGAACCAGGTACAACGCAACGGCAGCGGAGCGACCCTTTCCGAACGACTTCGGACTTTGGGTTTTCAATCCCAAATTCCTAGAAACCAGCGTATCCATTTAAGTTGCGATCTGCCCGTTTTACAGAGCGACGCCCTGCTCCTGCTGAATTCACGAGCAAAAGAGCCAGACGAGCAAAAGATGGCATCGGCTGTGTGGTCCTGTTTCGTGCTTGTGCTCTTGAAGTCTTGATCCTCAGAGCCACTGGTTTCAGTGTTGTGGTCGAGATTCTATTGCGCGACAGGGCCGAAGATTGAAGCAGAGAGCACACCTCGCAACCAACCAGAACACCGGCTGGCACGCTGCATGTTGAAAACATGAGTCGCCTCAGACATCGAAGATTGACAGAGCAGAGAGGCAAAAGATAGCGCACTCTGATTCAGATGATAGAAACGTCAAGTGTCGGTCATGTCCATCTTCATTTTTTAATGTTCCTACACATTTTCGCATTTCTTGAGTTCGTGCCATGACCGAGGCATCTGTCGGGTCTGAAAGGACAGTGAGTATCGTGTACAAAGTGTGCACAGAAGGTTCCAGAACCCATTTGCTACCGGTGTGGCCTTCTCAGAGACTTGCTGTTGTGTGCTGGAGACCTGCTTCGATGCTCAGGTGGATATCCTTGGTCGGGGCACGCTGAAAACTTGGGCCCCTACAACAAGCCAATGCCTCACAGAAACTGATGCGGCTTGATGTTGATCCTTGTCAGTGCGTTAGAGCCAGAGCGGGCAGCGCAGGTGGTGCCTGAGACGTTGGGCAGCTGGTGTCGTCGTTCTGTTTACAGACCTAGACCCAGACTGCCACCAAGTGCTTGCCAAGTGTCAAAGAAGCAGATGCTGCCGAGGACTCAGACACTGGCGATCCTTTTCTCCTTTTCGGGAAGGAGAAGCGCTTGGATGGAGGCCAAGTCGGTCGTCAGGTGTTCTTTCTGTCGAGAAGCCAACACCGCGAGAGTTTCCTCAGGCTACAATGCTTTCTGGGGTTTCGGCGAGCTGCACGAGAAGGAGACGCGAGTTGTCCACACTTCCGCGCAGATGTTGCTGGCGTTTTTTTCCAGATCAGGATCCGCATCAGACAGCGGCGCGGGAAGCCTGTGAAGAGGTAACTGCCTTTCGAGACTTCACTTGACTCTATGGCTTGGTGCCTCGCCGTCGAGGCCTTAGGCATCTTGGGCAATCAGAAGGAGATCCTTGCATCTATTGAGGGACAGGCTGGACAAAGTGGTTTCAGCAGCTTCGGGGGTTCAATGCGCCAGTCAGGAGAGTGCTGACGCCGAGGTGTTCTTGTTTCTGCATTCGCCACAGCTCATGTGCCAGTTTACGCAGACTTCGCGGTCTGGGCACACACGTGCTTGCCGAGGCTTAGCATTGGTGCTCAGCAGGTTTCTGCGCTTGTAGATCGGACCGGGCCTCATGAATTGAAGCGTTTCGAAATTGGTGGCGAGTGGTTGGAGGATTGCGCGAGTGTTGAGGTACCACGAGAGGCGCGTCATTTCTGCATGACTCTGCATTTGGCGTTAGCATAGATGCTGGGGTGTGAGGATTCTGGCTTTCTTTGGAGCGTCATATGCATTCTTCGTCCCGTCGTCCTGCGAGACCTGTCTCGCGCCTGCGTCCGCCAGCATGGAAGCAAGAAATGTAGAGTTGCGTGGCCTCGAAGCATTCCGCTCTGACCAAAGATCGCCGCGCACATCGCTGTGACGCTGTGAGGGTTGTGTGCGTGGGGTGCAGTTTGGTCGAGAGCCAGCCCGGCCCGGCGACTCAGACGTCTCCCGCAATGACCGCGCACACTCTACAGTGCTATTGAGAAGCATGTGCTGCCTTCGCGCCCGCGACCGTGTAGGGTCTGCTTCAAGAATCCGATCGCTCGCGGCCGATGCTTCTGTCCTTGCATCCACGGCCGCACCCTCCCAATTTATGGCTCCAGACTGGGTTCTGAATTACACAGTGCTGGCAATGGTTTATAACCGTGTGTTTGTGTAGCAACAAGAGTGCAAGCGTTTGAACAATCAATGATGCACTCGCCTGCGGAGCTGCACTGTGCACAGAAGAAAAACAGCTGAAAGCCAATTTGCAGGCGGCAGCTGTGGATCTCAGCTGCTGAGAGTCCGGTCCTGCTAGT